TGATGTTGTTTACATTAAATCATCCAATGTCGAAGCACAACCTATCATTCTCTCAACCCTCCCAGTCTAAACTCTAAAATCACTTTAATACATTTTCTATTTTATTCTTAACATAGAAATCCCTTCACATTTCCTTCCTTCTAAGGGAGAGTTCTGTAAACTAATCACAAGTAAGCACTGAAATCTTCCAGCTGTTGCAAAAGATAAGTGCTTTCACCAAAAACATTAATAAATGTGTCTGACCAGCACAACATAGAATTATGGTTACTTAGAATCATTTATTAAACATGTGCTTCAGCGTGAACCTTTTGTTGTTAGAAATGAGGGTGTGTTCTTTTTTCTTTTGTCTGTCTTTCATTTGTTTTTTTCTTCTTTGCCATTAATCATTTTTATCATTCACTAGAAAATGAACATTTTAAAGTCATAATTTTCCTCCATAGATGTTGCTTCATGTCCAACAACAACTCCTGGTATGTGAACATCCTTCTTGCTTCTTTGTTCATTCTTTAAAGTATTTTTTTCCCCAGTAAATTTCATTACAAAGATGTGTAGTCATTTTACTTACAAACTGTACTTAAACAATCTTTCAACAATTCAATTTGTGTTAATAATTTATATAGCTTCAAATATAAATTTAAGCTACCTTTACTGACCAAAGCTTATACGGGGATAATATGTAACCACAACAATTGAAGTGTTCTGCTGCATGTCCTTAAAGCAAACACCTGATATTCAAAACATAATATATAAGTTGCAACAGACATAATATGTAATGTTGCACGGATGATGTACATTAGATTTTGTGGCTGCATTGGAAAATATGATTTTGAAAGATAAAAAAGTATGCTAAAATCTAAATTGCTGCTGTTTCCATAGTTATAACTCCATCAACCCCACCCTTTACTACAGCAACAACCGGTATGGCTTTCGAAATGTAACGTGAAGAATAAATGTCCTTGTGTGAGCTCCAGATTATCAGTTGCACTGTAAAATCTAAAACATGAATGACTTTTGTTGTACCAACACAGCTATTTATTTGGCTGCATTAGAAAAGTATACTGAAATCTGAACTACTGCTTTTTTCTGTTTTCACAGTCACAACAACAGAAGCAACAATTCCTACTTCACCATATGGTATGACGTATCAAATGAAAAGTATAAATGTCTTTGAGCTCTTGATCATCACTTGCACTTTAAAATGTAAAAAACTGCATCACCGTCATTGTAACTACACCGCTATTTAACCGTCCGGTTTTGTGCACCCCATCCCCTTACTTTAGAGTCCCCGGTCAAAACTGACCAGTCAGTGTTAACAGCTCTTAAATTAACATAACAAACATTTTTCACCACCAAATTCAGTTCAGTGGGCCGTCAGTGGGTCTTTCATTTGGTCATTCAGTGGGCCATTCAGGGGCTCACAGGCCAAAAATCTGTGCAAAAATGTGGATTCATTGTCATTTGTATTTGTCTGTTTAAGGGAAACCACATTCCTGAAATATCTGATTAACACTGCAACTTGAAGTTTTCTTAGTTCTTTCCAAGTCTTGTAATTCTAACAGAGTCCCATCCTTCAACTCTCTAAATACTGTATGAATGTTCTGTTGTTTTCACAAACTAGTCCTAGTTAATGTCTTTCTGAGTCAGGAGCAAATCCTTTGGAATTCTTATAGTGTTTTTATGGTGAGGCTCTTTTGACTGTCACTACTACATCTTTCAGTTCTGCTATACCTGGGTATCTATGACCTTAAATATTCTCCATGTTCTGTCCCCTTTATATCTTCTCTGTCTTTTTTTTTTTTTTTTTTTTTTTTAGCTGTGCCGATCTTTTTAACAAGGTCTGGATCAACTCGATGTTCTTGTAGAGTTGAACTTTTTCAGCTACCTGCTGTGGTTAAAAGAGCTGATCTTTAAGCATTCGAATCAGGTTCTAACCGTGACACTGTCATGATCTCTGTGTAGTGACTGAACAAATTAGATTGCAGATATAAGCAGAAATAAGCTTATTGCTTTAGCGTGTCTGAAGTGTCTCTCCCTTAGCAAAATAGTGAGGATTTTGGTCATCTGGGAGGCACTCTCAAATGACCTGTAGAGCTGCTGCACCAAGTTCTGAAATCGACTGCAGCAGGACTATATTATTATTAGTTGTAGTAGTAGTAGTAGTAGTGTTAATTAGTGCTGCAACTGATCAAAAATGTCACGGTTCGGATTGGATCACGGTTTTAAGTCACGGATTGGCTCAATTTTTGCATCAGTAAAAACAAAAAAATTAAAAAAATTAACATTTACTTATTGAAGTCTTTTTTGCCTGTTCAAAACATTCAACTCAAGACTCATTCCATGCAATTATTTAAAAAAAGCAATTATGGTTCAATATAGGACAGTATAAGGCTTTGTATCTACCACTCAATTCAATTCAATTTTATTTATAAATCGCCAAATCACAACAACAGTCGCCTCAAGGCACTTTATATTGTAAGGTAGACCCTACAATAATACACACTGCTCATTATATTGCACTCCGCTGTGATATAATGAGCAGTCACGGTCATGTAGCTTTCCGTTGCTACACCTATTTGTAGTAGTTAGGGCAATAGAAGATGCCTGGGACAGTTCAGCCACAACTTAAATCTCTTCCTGCTCATACATGCTTGAAACGATTTTGCCACTAAAGTGGACGCAAACAGGATATCATAGCGTGGCTCAAGCAGGTTCATCATAGTTTAAACCCCTTGTTTTGCACAATGAAATATGGCCTCCCGTCTGCAGCTAAACACCCCAATAGCTTTTGTAATAGCTTTTGCCTGGTCGAATGGGCAGCAAAGGGCTGCTTAAATACCGCAAACTCCTCTGCTCCTCCACTTAGACCGCTAGCGCTGGCCATATCTATCACTTGGCAGACCCACCACGCCCACCATACACATACTTTTTTTCTTCTTTTTCGAATCTTCGGATCACGTGCGTGCCAAACTGTAGAGTGGGATCGGTTCGGATTACGGATCAACCGTGATCTGTTGCACCACTAGTATTAATGTTAAGCGATTATCTTCAAGCTGTTCACTGAAAGCAATTCCAGGGTGCAGCAGACAGAAAAAAGATCATAGTTTTACCAGCCAACTTTGGAGTTATTCTTACAAAATATTTATTGATATCTTCAAGAAAACTTTTTCACATTTTCATTTTATGTTTAACTTGGGTCATCAATATATACGTCATCCCAATTTAGATTTATTTATGTCTTCAATGCCGTAATTCTTTCTTGTGTTCTTAGCCTTACTATTTTTAAGGTGGTTCACTCACACTAAATGAACACTTAACATCTGAATCATGTATAATCCAAAAAATAGGGAGATGATAACTTCAATAAGTCAAAAGAAATCCACTTGTTATTGAAAAATGAGCATTCGGAAAATCAATTTTGTCAATAAGGATAGTACTGTCTTTGGTAATCTGACTAGGTTTACTAGGTCACTTGAAACCGATGATTTAATGTTTTTAAATAATTTCCAATTTCAACAAGATTTATATAAATGCTTCTACTATTTAAATGCAATATGCAAATACTATTACATTTCTTATTGAATAACATTTAGAATATTATTCATCATTATAATAAACATTTGCATCAAAATCAATGTTGTTTTCAAAATTTAATAATTTATGTTTGATTGGATCAGCTGCAGCTGCCCAGCCAAGAAAACTCATGTCTTTAAGCTGATGCCAGAGGAGGTTTGGACCTCAGTAGTTAGTGAGTTAGTGAGCTCGTTAGAAAGATCCATCCTTTCATAAATGTTTGAAAAAGGTGGACTGCATGGCTAGATACTGTTTTTACACCTGTGAAAATGGAGCTGAAAAAAATCTAAATTAAAAAATTAAGAGGTGTGGCCCTTTACTTCCCTACTACTTCTGGTCTTGCATGTCTCAATAGAAGTAGAAACATGTTAGATCAATGGGATGTTTGTTCATAAACAATTTATGTAAATGTTGTTTCTCATAATTGTGAAAGAGTTTTGTGACGATTTTCTTCTTGTCTCCTCTACAGAGCCAGTGGAGTTTTATATAGACTTGAACTTGCTCTTCCCAATATCCAGTCTGCCCTCAAATTTCATTGATCTGTTTAGAGGCTATGTGGAAAATGTGTCCTTCCCCCAAAACATCACTGAGTCTTTAATAATAGAAGACTTGAACTTCACCACATGTAAGAATTTTGTGCTCAGTCACATTTAAATGTGTTCATACTCTGGTGCATGATTTATGAGCTGTGTTTGGTCATTCTCTTAAATGTCTTAATCAGGGTGCTATCCAAACTCCACTGGAGGACAGCAGTGTCAATGTGAGAACCAGTTTGCCTGGTCATGTGACAAGTGTGGCCGATACGGTGCATGCAGTAATGTCACCTCCCAAACCTGTGAATGCATCCAAGGGCTTCCTCCTGGTGGAGAGTTCTGTGAACCAATTTCAAGTAAGGATTTAGCAAATAATTTTTACGTGACCAGAGTGTGGTTATATACTCACAGAATGTATTCAAATATGTCTTGAATAAATTAATTTGTTTTGGACTAATTTCCTTCTTTTTCCATGGATTTTAATTTATTCTTCACAGCTTTTAATCCATGTCCAACTATTACAACTACATCATCAATACCAACAATTACAAACACAACAACAAACACAACATCGACGACAACACCAACAACAAGCACAACATCGATGACAACACCAACAACAAGCACAACATCAGCGACAACACCAACAACAAACACAACATCGACGACAACAACAACAACAAACACAACATCGACAACAAGCACAATATCAGCAACAACACCAACAACAAACACAACATCGACGACAACAACAACATCAACAACAACATCAGCGAAAACACCAGCAACAAACACAACATCGACAACAAGCACAATAGCACCGCCAATACCAACAGCAAACATAACATCGACGACAACTCCAACATCAACAACAACAACAACAATAACATCGACGACAACTCCAACATCAACAACAACAACAACTACACTGATAACAGAGAGATTTAACATAACTATGGATGTTGAATTCAAGGAAGAATACAATCAGGAAACCAATGAATTTCACATTACTGTTAACGACACTGTAAGTCTTTATTTGCTGTTTTTCTGTGTCATTTAGTTTTCTTGTGTTCTCAATCTACTAACTGTATGGGATATTAATTCTTGTGTTTTGTCATTGTCTCAAACAGATCAGACGTGAAGGAACAAACCAAGGAATAGAAACAAAATTAATTAATTTCCGGTAACTCACAATGTCTTTGTTTTATTAACTTAACTATTCCTAACAAGGTTTTTTTTTCTTCGTCTTCTACTCCTTTTATAGTATGGTTATTGAAACATTCCACCTGTTTTTGCAAAGTCCTTTCACAAAACTGATATTTTAGTGTTAACTAGTTATGGGGGGATATTATCATCCTAACCCAATGAGATTAGTTAACAACCTCCAAGAACAACTGATGTGTTGAAGGCACTGAATTCGAAAGCAGGTGACCTGAAAGAAAGGATTATGCCTAAGTTGAAAACCTACACCCTCTGTGGCTGAATTTTAGGACTACATGAAGGGAAAGTCTCCTACATCATTACGTATAATCCCTAGTGTGACAATCACTAAAAACTTACCAGCTGATCTATAGTGGTCCTTGAGTGACCTTTTGAGATACTTGGCTACAATACGCAGAACACTCCATGGAGAGGAAGAGACTAAGATCAAAGCAGACTAGAGAGAAGTCAGCTAGGGGCGATCGTGGCTCAAGAGTTGGGAGTTCGCCTTGTAATCGGAAGGTTGCTGGTTCGAGCCCCGGCTTGGACAGTCTCGGTCGTTGTGTCCTTGGGCAAGACACTTCACCCATTGCCTACTGGTGGTGGTCAGAGGGCCCGGTGGCGCCAGTGAACGGCAGCCTCGCCTCTGTCAGTGTGCCCCAGGGTGGCTGTGGCTACAATGTAGCTTGCCATCACCAGTGTGTGAATGGGTGGACGACTGGATATGTAAAGCGCTTTGGGGTCCTTAGGGACTAGTAAAGCGCTATATAATACAGGCCATTTAGCTATTGAAATTACAGAAAGGTATGATGAAGAAAGAAGTACAGAAAAGAGGAAAGAAGTACAACAAGCTTTATATACCTGGGCCCTTAGAAACTGTCATGGTGCATTTTTTTTTATTCCAAAAGCACCCTGAGATAACTTTCTCCAGTGTGAGTAAAGTAGCCCTATGCATCCTGGAGAGCACCTGAAGTTACACAGAGGACTCCCACCTGAAGCGGGCGAGCCTTGGGTGCAGGCGGAGCAACAGGTGGGTGCTTTTGTCAGCTCCGGGGACCTCCGAGAGCCAGCTGGGTCCCGCGGACAATGCACTTGTAGTTGGCAGCATGCCACGACTTCCAGTGGAGCTCTTCCTCCAGCTGAGTGAAAGCTGCCTCCCGTCTGCTGAGTCCATTATATGGTCAGGTCATTCTGTCACAGTCTGACTGAGGCAGACTGCATGTATTGTGAAGAAGGACTCAAAAGCAGACCAAAACAGAATGTGCAACGTGACGTGGAATAACAAAAAACGAGCCGTTTATAAAGGCTCAAAATAAACTAAAACTCAAAATGCTGGGTCAAAAGATCCTACTGACACTACTCTTCAGTTGTTAAGATTTCAGATGAGATTTATTATCTGCGAAAGTGTCCCCATTCATTTTAAAATAATTTTTTTATTGAATTTTTCTGAAGTTAGGCACTTCATTTGAAGGCCACAATTTTCACATTTTATTTTCTGTTATTTTTAAATGGAGCCTTACTTTTAATGAGAATGCTGTGGAGGGTGAATGCAACATGGGTCCCAGCGGTAATCAGAGCACTCGGGGCAGCGATTCCTAAACTGAGCAAAAGGGTACAGCTGATCCCCGCAACGACATCTGAGGTCTACATCTAGAAGTGGGCAGTCCTTGGAACATCAAAGATCCTGCAAAGGACCCTCAAGCCTGCAGGCATCTGGCAGAGGACCTGAGCTTGAAGGGTCAAGACTGCCCACAGGGCCAGTCGGAAACTGATCATGTTGAACATTTCATAACCTACAAAAAGCCTTTAAATGAAGTCCTCGGGGTGTTCTTTTGTCACGTCGGCTATGACAGACGTGTGGAGTGGAGAGAGTGTGGACCCAAATGCAGACACTGACAACAAACTTAAACTGAAAACATGCCTTTAACTGGAGCAGAGCGAATAAAAATACAGGAATGCAATGACTAAACTAATATGACCTAAACAGAGAGGAAACTAGAAACAAGTAAAACGAAACTAAACAACTGAAACTCAAACTATGGACCATGGGACCCTTAGACCTGCAGTGAGTAATACACAGACAACCCACCAGCAAACAGCAGAAGATAAAGGGCGTAAATACACAGAGGGATAATGAGGGAATTAGACACAGGAGGAGAGCACAGCTGGGAGTAATCACACATAACGAGACAGGGAGGAAGCAAAACTGAAAACACTAGCATAGGACATGAGACCGTCAAAGTAAGAGGAAACACGAGAGAGGCACAGAAATACGAATTTGACAGTGAAACAAGGAGAAGCACAGACATGAAAACATAACTTGACTAGATGTGACACAAGGAAGACAGGAGTGGCACAGAGACAGAAACCTAAACATTACAAACTATAAATAACATAAGCAGGAAACAAGAGCGACAATCAAAACCACGAAAAACAACAAAACCAAGAACTAAATAAAAAAACAGAAAACATTGGGTCCCAGACCCAGTACCGTGACATCTTTGGCCCACTGTTGGCCATTGTGGCCCATGAATATCGACCTGTTGATGCAAGATATCTGGCTTCACTAACAAATGGACTGAATGCTTGGTTTGCTTTGGCAGCAAGATGAAGAGTGCTGGCCAAAGGCTGCGCTTTGTTACTGATTCTGTTTATTACCTTCAGCCATGAAGTGTACAATATATTTTATTTAATAAACTAGGAGGAAAGAATAAAAAGATATTAAAGCAGTAAACGTAGGTTACTTTTATGTGATGAAATGTCTTAGTCTATCCTGCCTCATCACAACGAAGACTTCACTGTAAACATTTCCATCTGTTAAGTTGTAAATTAATGTGACTGAGGGAAAACTCAACATGCAGTAAAACTGTCTCTACTACTCATTTTAAAAACATATAATCTGGAAATAGTCTGACATTTAGCCTTTACCCAGTAGAGAAAAAAATAATTGTTAATTATTTGCAATTTACTGTAATTTCTTTTTTTTGTTGTTGCCATAACTAAAGGCATTTGATGTTTTTGTTATTTGAGATGAAACTTGTTTGGCCTGTGTGAGTGAACACATAGCATGTGAGAACTTAAGAGTTGGCAACTCTTTTGTGGTTACATTCTTTTTAAAGGAATTCTGTTCTCTGTTGCAGGAGTGGAAGTACCATTGCCCAATATCAAGTCAGTGCTCCCTCTTCTATTACACCAGACTTTCAGACAACAAATTTAAACATATCCAACAACCTGGCAAAATTATACCCTGTAATATTTGAGGGTAAGGTAGTTTTTTACATTTATGCTTTCAAATGTTGTGAATATCTGTTGGTCCAGATAGTTGTTTAATAATTGTGTGACATTTTTGTCCTTAAAGCCTCGGGTCCCCTGACATTTTCGCCAAATGATGGATTTTATGAGCAAACAGTGACTGTAACATGTGGCCCTCCACCAGTGGATCTCAATTTTGGCAATGTCTCAGCAGCAGAGTGGAGACGTAATACGGTGCTCATATCTGAAGATGAAGAACACAGCATTAATTCAATTAAGGATGGAAAATCAACCTTAACTGTGTCCAGGTTTATTAGCGCTGACAATGGTAAGAAATGGGTTGGTGCATTTAATAGGAATACATTTTAATAGAATTTGTTTAATTAAAATTTAAATTCTGCATCACAGTTTTCTCTTAGTACTCAGGCCAGAGCAACAGCAAAATTCTGATTGGCTGGGTAAAATTCATCGTACAGTGCAACGCAAGCATTGTCAGTGCATCAATCAGTCTGACCCGCTTTTGAAAAGAACAAATTGCAGAGAAAGTTTCACCCAAAAATAATTATAGCGCAGTCTGTCTTAGTGTAGTAAATATACCACCACAATTATTTTATGTATTGAAGAGGTATCCAATGGTTGGGCCTAAGTCTCTCACAGAAATACAGTGCAGAAGAATTCTGCCATGTTACTGAACCACCGCAATAAACTCTGATGAGAGCAAAATGTCTGGTGCGGAAAACTCTGTATACAGTATATATGTTCAGTGCAGATAGATATATAGTGTATAGGTATACATGTCATCCAAAAGATCCACAACACAGATCATACAAAAGAAATATGGTACAAAAGCCAAAAAATGTTTTCCTTTGCTGAGCTGTTACACTTCATGTGAGCAGTATATGCATTTTAACCAGTGATTTAAGGACCACAATAGCATCTAAACAAAGGGACGTGACATTTATAGGTACACTAATATTCTGATATACAGTTTTTCCTAGTTTCTATGGCTCACTTCTCAAATAATAGTTTAGTGATGCAAAAGAGTACCGCCATTGGTTGGGGGCAGACAAACAGTTTCCCCTCTTGGGTTTGCAAGCACATTATAACGGGTGTGCAGTTTATGACAATTTGTGGCCAAACAGAGTATTAGGTTTTTTTTTTTACTGTACTATTTTATTATTAATGAGCTGATATTCTACTTTTTAGTTCTGTGCAGTCCAGTTTTTTTCCCCTCACAATACATTGTAAAGAGTCCTTTCATTTTAATACAGAATGTAATATGTTCTGCTTTTAAGCATTTCAGCTATATTTTTACACAATCGCAGTTGGTTATTCCCAGAAAAATTAGGGTTGGATTGCTAAAAAGTAAAGTTTCAGTGTATGAGGGCGGAAAACCAGGAGTATTCCAAAAATGTTATTGTTGTTGTTATTATAAATATTTTATACCTCTTTTGTTGGTTTAATTTGAAATTTTCACTTTTAATTACAGGAGTTTATGAATGTAGGCTGATGCGCACAAATGACAAAGCATTTTTTCGTCAGAAATCTGCAACATCATTCAGTCTGAAAACAAAACCCACAATCACAGTCTCACCAATCAGACAGTATGTGCAATGTTCTGGAGGAAGTGTGGCTCTGGATTGCAGTGTGAATGATGGGTATGAAGTTCAGTTTCAGGACATTTCTGCAGCAGGTAAGCCTGACACAAAAACACAAAAATCAACAAAAGGCAAATCTGTTACTGAGAAACATTTTCTATTACAGCATTTTTCACAAAAGCATATTTAATGCAATTAATATTATTTTGTAACTTTTCGGTCTTGCTATTGTTCTGCTCTCTAGGATATTTTTAACTTACCTTTATTGTTGTTGTTTAGGCACTGGTACTTCGATTACCTATAATTATCCTACACCTCAAGGTTGTCAACAAGGGGAAAAGACAGTCATCTGTCAGTTAAAAAACCAACCTTCATATGCAAATAGAATAACACTACAGTTATCCTCACAGAGTGAGTATTACTTAATACGTTCAGATATTCACAAGTATGATCATGAACATGCATTCATACATACAAAATGAAAAATACATATTAAAACTGATGATGTATTTGTTCTCTCTCTGCATAGGTGCTTACTGTAGAGATGACACATTTGGCCAAGGAGATATAGGTTACAAAGCTGCAGTGCCCTGTGAACCAAACAAGGTGGGAGAAATAACTGCAGTGTGTAAGGAAAATAGGAAATTTGGCGATGTTGAAGACAACTGCATCCTGTTGCCAGTTCAGGAGCTGCTTGACCAGTCCCAGGTAACCTAGCTCTCTGGTTGTTTCCAACAACAGATAATGAATCATTGATTCAATTAAGGCAACACAATGCAAGTCAAATCAAATTACTTTTATTGTCACATCACAATATACTGGTACACTGGTACAGCACATGCGAGTGAAATTCTTGTGTGCAAGCTTCAAGCAACAGTCTTGTGCAAAATGCAAGAAACAAGAGAATTACAAGAATAGGAATATGAGAATTATAAGAATAAATATATGTACAACTATAATAATGTATGCACATCATTAAGTGTGTGTGTGTGTACATATGTATAAAATATACAGAGGTCAGATGTAGTAATGGTCTGAGCCAAACCCTAATTTGGCAACTGTAATGGAGTTGGTGGGAGGTATTGTCCTGTATTGAACTTATCTTAGATAACATCCTACTCCCCAACACCACCTAAAATGGGTACAGCATGCAACATCACAGAGGAAAGCACTGCCCACAACAGATTCATAGAGTATTATCCAACAGATGTTAAAAGACCTCATCTGCCTCAGAAAATAGAGAAAACTCTGGCCCTTCCTGTAAAGTGCAGTTGTGTTTTTAACCCACTCCACTTTATTGTCAGTGTTTTCTCTGAGGTATTTATGTTGTGGTGGTTTCATGGTCCTCCTAAAGTCCACAGTCAGCCACGAAATAGTAAAATCATATGGTCACTGGACACCTCTGCACATAGTGTGCCAGACGCAGCCTGCAAAAGGGATAAGGGCCCATCCTCCTGTAGGCCCACAGTCCTGTAGGAGGTGCCATTGGGGGTCAGCTGCAATGGGTGTCGCACGTCAAATGGGAGCAGAGGCCCTGGCAGACTGATTCCCGGGTACCAAGACTAGCAAATAATTATGTGTAATAATAATTCTATATCAGTATATTGGCTGTATGTAATGAATGAATATCTGTACTGTTGATGCACAGTGGTCCTGTGTGTGTGGTCCAGTGTTCTCCTTAAAAAGGGAATGAGAAAAATGCATCAGAAGCCTCATATGTGATTTTAAAGCAAGTGCATCATTTATGCTTAAACCTGCAGGAAAACTAGAAGAAAGTAAAATAAGTAGAATATATAAAATTATTAAGTGGAGTTAACATGTAACATTGTTCTTTCCTCTGTTCAAATCTCACAGTTCTTGACTGCCGCTACATTGCCAGTATTTTTGGAACAGCTCAAGAACGTCACTGTCAATTTTACTGAAGAAGTGATTACATCTCCTGCCAACGTTAAAGCTATTGTGAGAATATTCAGCAATGTCGCCAACAAATCTTCATCCCTCAATATCTCAATTAGCAGAGATTCAATGGAGGTATGTTGATTAGATTGCAGACGTTTTCACATTCTGAACAGTTAATGTTTTTAATCTAAAATCATTCTTTTCTCTTTACTATAGAATGTCTTGATAACAGCAGGGGTTCTCACCATCAATGGAACAAAGCAAACATGGAACTTTCTCAATAACAATGACACCAAAAGCATCTCAAACAACACTGATGTTAAAAGTGTTAGCTCATCATTTTTGGACTCCCTTGAAATAATAACATCTCGTCTTGTCAATGCAACTTTTGAGATTATGACAGGCTTTATTCAGTTAAACAAAACTACATTCACAGACACTTTCAATGCTGAATTTAATTCTTCAGTGACAATACAAATACCAGAGTCTAATGGAGATAACAAAACAATCACTATGATAGTATTTAACTCCTTAGATAACGTACTACCTGCAAGAGATGAGGCCAATTCATCGCTCAAGTCCATAAACGGCAGGGTTGTACTTGTTCAGTCCACTGGCCAAATCAATAATATCTCTTTCACATATGACATTTTAAATGATACACTGGAAAACCCTGAATGTGTCTTCTGGAACTTCAGCCTCTTTGATGGTCTGGGAGGATGGGACGGCAAGGGCTGCGAGTTAGTGTTAAACATAAATGAAACAGAAACTGTCACCTGCAACTGCAACCACCTGACCTCATTCTCCATCCTCATGTCACCGAACAGTCCGAAGAAACTCTATTTGGACATTATAACCTACATTGGAGTTGGCATTTCAATGGGATCCTTGGTCATATGTCTCATCATTGAAGGCCTCATTTGGAGAAAAATAAGAAAGAATGAAACCTCTTACTTGCGTCATGTTGCCATTGTTAACATCGCCGTTTCCCTCCTGATTGCAAACATTTGGTTTATCATTGGAGCGGCCATTTCAGATGCAGAAGTTAAAAACCCCCCAGCATGCACTGCAGCTACCTTTTTTATCCATTTTTTCTACCTAGCCCTGTTCTTCTGGATGCTGGCCTCAGCTATGCTGCTGCTCTACCGTACAACTAATGTTTTTGGTGGGGGTTTGTCTAAAGCATCTATGCTGGCCATTGGATTTTTTCTAGGCTACGGAGCTCCTCTCATCATTGCAACAATAACTATAGCTGCAACTGCACCTGACAACGGATACATTCGAGAAGATACCATATGCTGGCTCAACTGGGAAAAGTCCAAAGCTCTGCTGGCATTTGTGATTCCTGCACTTTTAATAGTGGTGATAAACCTCATTATCCTGGTTGTGGTTTTGTACAAAATCATAAGGAGAAGGGTTGGAACAACTGCTGCACAAGCAGAGGAAAAGCACGTCTTAGTGGTTATTGCCAAAAGCTTGGCTGTGCTCACACCATTTTTTGGCATAACTTGGGGTTTGGGAATTGGAATTCTGGCTGATCCACCAAATGAAGGAATCCATATTGCATTTGCATTCTTCAATTCACTACAGGTACAAATTCATTTTTTCCCCTATCTGTATACCATGATAGTAGCATCTTTAATCACTAAATCCTTGATAACTCATGTTACTCTGTTTTTAAAAAAAGGGCTTCTTTATTTTGGTGTTTGGAACACTGCTGGACGGTAAGGTACGTACAGCTCAATTTTAAGAACAGAAATATAAATTCTAATAATACTGCACTAAAATCCACTTCCACTTTCAGTGCCATGTCATGGTTTCTCTGTAAGCCCGTTTAAATGGCTACTCAGACTTGAGGATAGAAGTAGACAAGTAGCAGACGGGACCATTTAATAAATAACAGTTATGTGCATATGCTCATATTCCACACAAGAACACACACAAAAAAATATAATGAACATCACCATAGTGCAAAAACAATACAAGATAGTTTGCGTATAGTGTTTGGCTTGGCAATAAGAACAAATTTATCAAATTTCTGTGACTTCTATTTTAGTGTTCTAACATTTGACATTTCATTTATCAGGTGCGGTCAGCAATGGCATCATGGTCACAACCGTCCAGAAGTAGGACAGGGGTAAGAACAAGTTTCCCTGTCATGGGCTTCATGTTCCTTTTTTCTTTCCTTTCTTGTTAATCACAGCTAATTTGCTTCTTGTTAATATTGTTTGATTTGCTTTTTGTTTTGTTTTTTTAGAGCACAAGTGCTGGAAACTCAACATCAAGTCGACTTCGATTTTTAAGGAACTGGAGACGTGGAAGACGTGGAAGAGGTAAAGAACCATCAAGGAAACCATCAACTTAATTTCTCTGTAAAAATGAAGTGAAAGCTGTGTGTTTTTAGGTGTGCTTGTACTTTGATCAGGCAGTCCAACAGGGAAAATAATAATTCGATGCTTTTTGCATCAACACATACAAAATGTCATTTAAAAAAATGTTATTTATACAATTATTTAATCTGCCACCGAAACTACAGCTTCCTGGTGTAGTACTGTTCCTACTGTTGTATTTTTTTTTTTGAATACACAACACAGAATAACTGCACTCTTTTTTTTTTAGATGGCTATCAGACGACATCCAGTGCATCCAGTGATTTCCATTCCGCTAGCAACACATAATGTGTGCAGAAAACTGTGGTTATTCAGATAACCAACAAGTCGGCTCCCCCCCCCCCCCCCTTTTTTTTGCCATATTTACAATAAGTTAATCTGTGATGGTTTTATTTATATATTAAATAATATTGAATCCTACAAGAATCTGGCTTGATTTTGAAGAAAATTTAATTAAGAAAAACGTATGTGATTGCTACAATATTTTTGAATGGCATAATAAATGTTGGAATTGTAATTATAACTTGTTATTTATCTTTGATTTTGATTTGAATGCATGATTATCACATGTCACAGAGTACATATTTGCAATTAGTAATACATTTTTATTCATCTGTTTTAGAGGAAGAGTTAAGTTTACTTATTCTAAAGAGTGAGTATATCCATGTAAAATAAAATGCTTAAGTTTCCAGAAGGTTCTCAATTATATATATATATATATACATATATACATATATATATATATACATATATACATATATACATATATACATATATACGTGTGTGTGTGTGTGTGTGTACATATATGTGAAATAAAGAATATACAGAGGTTAGCAATTGGATATTGTGCAAAAGAAATGGCATTTATGTACACTATGGAGTGTAGAACCTGTGACTCTGTGTCTGAGGCAAAATTTCCCAGATTTTAATCGAATCGAATCTAGAAATCAGTGACGATACCCAGCCCTAATGGCCTTACAAACCCAACAGTGAGATCTTAAGAGATCCGCAGTCTACGGGTTTTCAATGGGGTGTCTCAGGGTCCCCAGGAAAAAAATGTAAATGTAAAATAATAAGATAAATATTCTTCTGTAGCAATAACAAAGTATAACATAAATTATTCTGTAGCAATTACACACGAATATCCAGTAATGTCCTGCCTACAATTAAACACATTCACTTTAAATCGGGGGCATCTGCTGTGGCAAATGGGTGCAAGCCTTTGACCACAAACTTAGTCACTGCTCGGTGACATTCGTCTATCCTGGCCTGAAAGGAGACGCTACCGGTAGACTGCAGCGAGAACTGCCAGCATCTGATCCAGACTCTGTCTGTCTCATCACGGTCACCTAAATGCACAGTAATGGCAGGTTTTGTAATAAGGCAGATCGTGCTAACATAATATGCACTGTTAGTTGATTACCGTATTTCCCGGACTACAAAGCGCACCTGAATATTAGCCGCACAAGCTAAAATCACGGTAAAATCCTGTTTTGTACATACATTAGCCGCACCTGACTAAAGGCCGCAGGTGTTTCAATGTTGACTTATCATATGTAAGAGAATATGCACATAGGGAATGGTCAGGAAAGAGATGGCTGTTTGGAGACACACCCCTTTTATTAATATTTTGAAGAACAAGTTATGGGTACATGTTTGCATAACTTTTTAGGTATATAAGATAAGATAAGATAGAACTTTATTAATCCCTCGGGTGGGTTCCTCTGGGAAATTCGATTTCCAAAAAAGCACAGCACCGACAGAAGTTACAGAGTTATACACACACACATATATATAAATACAGAGACAATATAAATAAAATATACGAAGGGGATAAATAGAATAAATAGGAATAAAAATAAAAATACAAGTGAATTGCACATTTCAAGTATTGAGTCTATTGCACCGTTGACTATTTACAAAAGTATTGCACAAAAGGTATTGCACAGTGAGGTGAAGAGGCACTACAGCTTAGTTGTTCCCTCCTTTGTCCTCCTGTTTCCCCTCCCTCTCCCCTCCAGAGAGGAGTTAAACAGTCTGATGGCGTGTGGGACAAAGGAGTTTTTAAGTCTGTTAGTTCTTGTCTTTGGGAGAAGCAACCTGTCACTGAACAGACTCTTCTGGTTGTTAATGGCCGTGTGCAGAGGATGCCTGGCATTGTCCATAATGTCCATCAGTTTCTTTAATGTCCTTTTCTCTGCCACTGTCACCAGAGTGTCCAGCTTCATGCCGACCACAGAGCTAGCCCTCCTGATCAGTTTCTCCAGCCTGGATGAGTCCTTCTTTGCTGTGCTGCTCCCCCAGCACACCACAGCATAGAAAAGTACTCCAGCAACCACCGACTGGTAAAACATCCTCAGGAGCTTCCTGCAGATGTTAAAAGACCTCAGCCTCCTGAGGAAGTACAGTCGGCTTTGGGCTTTTTTATACAGGTGCTCTGTGTTGCATGACCAGTCCAGTTTATTGTCCACCCACAGCCCGAGGTACTTGTACTTGTTGACCACCTCCACCTCCTCCCCCTTTATCTGAACCGGCAGTGGACCTGCTCTAGACCTCCCAAAGTCCACAACCAGTTCCTTAGTCTTTGAGGTGTTGAGTTGCAGGTGGTTTGTGTGACTCCATGCGACAAAGTTCCTCACCAGACTTCTGTACTCCTCTTCCTGATCATCCCAGATACACCCCATGATGGCTGTGTCATCTGCAAACTTCTGAATGTGGCATAATTCAGAGTTGTAGCAGAAGTCAGAGGTGTACAGGGTGAAGAGAAGAGGGGACAGCACAGTTCCCTGTGGTGCTCCTGTGCTGCTGACCACTGTGTCAGACGTGATGTCCTTCAGCCTGACGTACTGTGGTCTGTCGGTGAGGTAGTCGGAGATCCAAGCGACCAGGCAGGGGTCCACCTCCATCCTGTTCAGTTTTTCCTGAAGCATACAGGGCCGGATGGTATTAAAGGCACTGGAAAAGTCAAGAAACAGTATCCTGACCGTGCCTTTTCCCCCATCCAGGTGTGAGTGGGCTCTGTGTAGGAGGTACAGGATGGCATCCTCCACTCCGACACCCGCCTTGTATGCAAACTGTAGTGGGTCCTGGGCATGTTGTACCTGTGGTCGGAGGAGGTTGAGGAAGAGCCGCTCTAGAGTCTTCATAAGATGTGACGTCAGTGCCACCGGTCGGAAGTCATTCAGCTCATTGGGCCGGTTCTTTTTGGGGACCGGGACGATGCAGGATGTCTTCCATAGGGCGGGCACTCTCCCCAGTCGCAGACTGAGGTTGAAGACTCGTTGTAGCGGCTCCCCAAGTTCAGCAGCACACGCCTTTAGCATCCTAGGACACACCTTGTCTGGGCCTGCTGCCTTTCTGGGGCGAAGCTTCCTCAGTTGTCTCCTGACCTGATCCACTGTGACACTGGGAGATGTTTGGGAAGAGGGGAGGGGGGGAGATGTCTTGCTGCTGAGAGAGGGATTGGAGGAGGGGGGTGTCATGGTGTCAGGAAGGGGGGAAGCGAGGGAGGTAGGAGAGTGGGGATTGGACTCTGTAGTGAAGGTGAGGGTGGGGGGGTTGTGGGCTGGTCAAACCTGTTGAAGAAGTTGTTGAGTTCGTTTGCCTTCTCCACAGTCCCCCCCCCCCCCCCCCCCAACTGTGCTTTTCTTGGTGTTGTGGCCTGTGATGGTTTTCACACCATTCCAGACCTCCCTCATATTGTTCCTCTCCAACTTCTGCTCCACCTTCCTCCTGTAGGTGTCCTTTGCTTCCCTCAGGCAGCGTTTCACCTCCCGCTGTGCTGCCTTCATCTCCTCCTTCACTTTGCTCCTGAAAGCCTTCTTCTTCATGTTGAGGACAGCTTTGACTTCCTGTGTTACCCACGGTTTGTTATTAGGATAACACCGTACCGTCTTAGCAGGGGCGACCGTGTCCACACAAAAGTTGAGGTAGTCTGTAAGACAGTGTGTCGCCCCCTCTATGTCCTCACCATGTGGGCTCAGGAGCACATCCCAGTCTGTGGTGTCATAACAGTCCCTCAGAGCATCCTCCTTTTCTGGGGTCCATCTCCGGATGGAGCGCGTTGTGACCGGCTGCCTTTGGACGAGGGGTGTGTATTGTGGCTGTAGGTAAACCAGGTTGTGGTCTGACTTCCCTAGTGGCGGGAGGGGGGTGGCTCTGTATGCATCTCTCACATTAGCATACAATATGTACAAGTAGCGGTAATTACAAGTAGGAAACATGTACTGTGCTTCATAAATGAGTAATAAATGTAGTACATAACAATAACCTACAGCACACCAGAAAAATAGATTCAGACTACCTTTTAGGCTCAGATGCAGTCACACGCTTTAACAAGAAGAAAAGTCAGTCATTCACCACCATCTTCCTGCGCACTAAAACCACCAAAGTCCTCTTCTCCAGTGTCAGAAACGAACAGGCTCAGAGTGGCTTCGTCATCCACTCTCAGCTTCTTTCCTTCGTTGTCACTTACAAAACCAAACAAATCCTCGCTGTCAGTGTCAGAGTCGAACACCCTCTGAAGGGCCGTGGCAGTGTCCTCCTCTCCATCATGCAGCAGTCCAGCCCTTCGAAATCCGTTGGTGATCATGGATGTTTTCACACTTTTCCACGCTGTCAGATTCCACCGGTGGAGTTGAGCATAACTTGCTTTTCGCAAGTTTATCGCCGCTCGTCATCCACGACTCCCGCTGAACGCGTACCGCTACTTTGAAGTTTGTTTTTCGCGCTACTTGTACGGCACTATGTTGCCTGGCGGATGGACACGTGGCCAACATACCACTCTTGAACCCCGATACTGTGTGTCTGATCACATGCCCTTCCACCAGGCAACGTAGTGCCGTACAACAGCGGAACAAACAAAACAAATCGTCTTACGATATGACAAAAATCATGGACAATCCACAGAAAAGCCGCACCTGACTAAAAGCCGCAGGGTTCAAAGCTTGTGGAAAAAGTAGCGGCTTATAGCCCGACAATTACGGTATTTACCTGCCGCATTAACGGGAGAGGACGTGCAAACGTTACCGCTGCTGCTGGGCTGAGATTCACGAGTCCGGAGCGAAATTAAAAACACGACATTCATTTAAGGATATCGCGTGTTTGATGAGCAAATGCTTTTGCATATTCGTAATGTTTCCTCCCTTAAATTAAATATCTACTTTGCAAGTATTGCAAGTTGCCCTGTTGTCATCCATTCTCATAAAGCATAACCAAACTTTTGAGCGTTTGAGCCGCCGTGTTTCCTGCCAGGTAAATGACGCTCCGCAACGTGGTGACGTCATTCCGGGTGACTGGAATCGATCGAATTAATCAACTAAATTTC